AAGAAATTGTTCAGCATTTGCACAGGCTGAATTGTGAGACACCCTGCTGATCAGAATCAGATCCTGCTGCTGCTAATGATGATGAAAATGATGTCTAAGATGCTGAAGACATTAACCGTGATGATTTTAATGATGATGAATGATGTTTTATTCATCTTTGTGACAATATCAGTCTCTTGTGGCTCACGTTCTCTCTGCCCCTTCTCTCTCCCTCTCCCACCTCTGACTCCTGTTCTCTCACCGTCCCTTTCCCACTCCCTCTTTTTCTTATTCCTATCACTCCCTCTCCCATTCTCCCTCATTTCCACTCTCTCCTCCTCCTCTCTCCCTTCTCTCCTCTCTCTTCACCCTCTCTCCTCCTCCTCTCTTCACCCTTTCTCCTTGCCCCCTCCTCCCCCTCTCCCCTGTCTCTCTTCTCTGCCCTCTCTCCCCTCTCTCTCCTCTTTCCTCTCTCTCCCCTCTCTACCCCCTCTCTCTCCTCTCTCCCCTCTCTCCTCCTCCCCCCTTCCTCCTCTCCCCTCTCCCCTCCTCTCTCTCTCTCCTCTCTCTCCCCTCTCTCCTCTCTCTCCCCTCTCCTCTCTCTCTCCTCTCTCTCCCCTCTCTCCTCTCTCTCCCCTCTCCCCTCTCTCCTCTCTCTCCCCTCTCTCTCTCCTTCTCCCCTCTCTCCTCTTTCTCCTCTCCCCCCCCTCCCTGCTGCAGAAATACCGGTACCAAGATGAGGACACGCCCCCTATGGAGCACAGCCCGGCTCACCTGGCCGGTCAGGTGAAGAACCCAGAGCTGGTCCAGGTGTCTGAGAAGAACCTCTCGCCCATCGACAACGTGCACGGCTACACGCCACACACCCACCTCTCCCCCATGAAGGTAGGAGGCGCTGTGAACACAGAAGTGTCTCCGTCTCTGTCCCCCCTCTCTCTTTCTCTTGCACTGTTCCACGTGTGGCTCGGTCTCTGTCCTCGTCCATCTGTCCTCCTCTCTCCACCTGCACTGGCAGCGTTGCTGTGCTGCCCTCGAGCAGTACTGCTCCCAGTGTCTGGACACTGGACAGGGTTTCCACGTCCGGTCTGTGTGAGTCTTGTATTGTATTGTAATGCTTTCATTCATACACGGCTACCGGTATAAACTGGTGATAACACTCCAGTGCACACTGCCACTGGGAGCCACTGGGAGCAGCAGACCCACGCAGACTCAAGCCCGCCTTGCGTCTGTGTCCCCCTCTGTCCTGTAGGCCTGCTGTCCAATTCTGTCATCATGTCCTGCTGTGTTTCCTCTTGAAGTGGTATCTCTTCTCTTGTCCTGTTGTCCACCTCTGTCTTCTTGTCCTGCTATCTGTCCTCTTGTGCTGGCGTCCAGCTCTGTCTGTTACGTGTCGTTCTGGTTGTTGGCTGGTTGTGGTTAGGAGCAGTCGCCTCTCCATCGCTGGGCAGCTTGTGTCCACAAGCGGGACAGTAATGCTGTGGTGACAGCGGTTGCCGGCACAAGATGCTCTCAGCACTCCCTGAGTCCTGCGCAGTGTCCTGGCTGCAGGGGAAGTCCTGTAGAAACATTGGCATTCACCTGCTCTGTCTGAGGTGATCTGACTGTACTGTAGACACTGCTAGAGCCACTGCTGTCCCTCTCCTCTCACACTC